TAGGGTGATGAACGTCAAGTCCTGTGAGAGAAGGGGCACATTTAACTCCTTACAGCAGTATCCTCATGCCCAGCGTGGCTCCCCCAATGAATAGGGGCTCAAAATGAGACGCTGGGTAAGCAGCCCCATGTGAGTGACAGGCACTAGCGGCCCAGCACACACACATCTAGGAAGTCATTCTGGCCTGCACCCCTTCCCACACGAGAGCAGGAAGAAAGGCTGTGGGCTGAGCAGAAGCAAATCCAGATCCCCTGTGTCCCAGTGGCAATGGCCTCTGCTCCCAGAATCCCTGTGGCTTCCTTTGGACTTTATTCCTAGATCCTCGTCCCTTGCTGTCCGGACTATCTGACGAAGGCCTCATCTCCTGGACGGGCACCTGGTCACTGCCTTCCTGGACTGACCATGGGCGGCAGGATCTGGCAGGGCTTGTCAGAGAGCCTCACGGAGGCCTTCTCTCCCCAAGCCTAGTGCCTACGTCCCAACACCGCAGGGGAAGGACGGAGAGTCGTGCTTCCTGGCATTATGGGGAAATAATGGGGGAAAGAAGGAGAGAACTGGTAAGGAATGATCCCCACCTACTGACTGGCTGTCCTTCCCAACAGGTTGTACTCCATGAAGGAACACCTTCCTGGGAAGACAGAGGTTTGTGGGTTCATGAGGATCAAGGAGGAACTTTCCAAGACGGGCCCAGAATATCAGAGGAAAGGGCTCCGGGAACTGGCACCTGAACTCAAAACAAGCAAAACACCCCACCTCCGTAAGGAGTTTGCAGGACAAAGCCAAGTGAGAGAAATACAGGTCTTTCCTCCCGGCTGGCCTGCAGCTGGGAGCCCCAGGAAGTGAAGAACGCACCGGGGAAGGCCCTGCGAGAGCCATCTTCCAGAGCCCGTGCTCTCTGCAGCACGCACAGTGCTCCAGGCTCCTCTGCAGAACTGATCGGCTTCGAAAGAAAAGCTGGGCTTTATTTTCAACTCAGGTCCCAGGGTTTGAATGTGTTATGCAACCTGGGAGACATCTGGCAGTGGGCTAGTGGGCAGCCCAGCCCAGATCTGTACTTGACCTCCTGTCCTTCTCTAGACCCATGGACAGCTTCGCCGGAAAGAAAAGCAGACACCTTGGCGTTCGGTCAGACTCTGAACGTCCCGTCTTTTCCATTGGGTCCCTGAAGAAATAAAGACTGAATTCTTCTCGTTTCTTCCCGAGGTGACAGGAAGGGCCTCCGCAGGCCTGAGGGTCTGGCACAGGACTGGGCCTGTCACTCCAGAGGCAGCTGGTCAGCAGCTCCATGTCGCTCAAGGCCGTGACTGACCTCCACGGCCAGAGGATGGACCAGGGCGGGTCATGATGTGTGGAAAGAGGACACAGATGACACACGGAGGAAGCACCGGGAATGCTCCAAAATTAGCAGAGCGGGAACTGTAGGGCGGACTGCAATGATCTCCTCTTAGGAAGGGAAGACAAACTGCGTTGCCTCCAGATCTAGAAAAATCGGCCATTTGCCAATATTGCAGGAAAGTGAAGACGGTGGCATAACGGGCCAAAGCAAACAAACACTACCCATTCTGCACTATTTTAGAAGCTACAGACCGACGCTTCTTAAAAAGGGCTTGAAGTCTCAAATTAGCTTTTCACTAAGATGAAAGGTTAAACCAGCACGGTCCAACAGAAATACAGTGCAAGTTCCTACAGAGTTTAAATTTTTCTAGTAGCATAAATGAAAAAAGAAACAGGTGGAATTAATTTGAATAACACATTGTGTTTAACCCGCTCTATGAAATACATTATCATTTCAAAATGTAATGGATATAAAATAGTTACACATTCTTTTCTCAGACTGCTTTTGGAACCCAGTGTGTATTTTACACCTGCGGATCACCTCAATCCAGAGCAGCTCTACCGCCACACTGTCCAGCACAATGGAAGGACCACCTGCAGACTAATGATGGGTCCCTGTCTGACCCTTAAAAACAGCAAATGCAGTCAAGGGACTGCCTCCATGTGTGTGCCCTGCCGAAAGCAGGTGATGCTACTGCCGGGGTCACTGACACAGACAAGCCCACCGTTACTGAGGACCTCCCCTTCCGATCACCAACTCTTCCACGTGGACGTGAAGGAGAAGCAGACCCCCCTCCCTGGAAGCCCGTTTCTGATCCATCGAGACCCCGTGGAAAAGCAGTCCTGCTAGCTGCCTGCTAGTTACTACAGGAGCCACCGCAGGTGCACCTGACACTAATACAAAGTAATACTGAACGTCGACTCTAATTGAAAAATAAATAAAGGAGCCACTGAATAATGTGAAATGCTATTTTGTCCAAATGCTCTGTTATTTCGGTTTAAAGGTGTTCCTTTTGCCCTGCCAGCGTGGCTCAGTGGTTGAGCGTTGGTCGACCTGTGAACCAAGAGGTCGTGGTTCGATTTCCTGGGTTGCTGGCTTGAACCGCAGTGTGGGGCGTGCAGGAGGCAGCTGATCAATGATTTTTTCTCATCATTGATGTTTCTATCTCTCTCTCCCTACCTCTCTGAAATCAATAAAAATATATTTTAAAATTTTTTAATATATTTTATTGATTTTTTACAGAGAGGAAGGGAGAGAGATAGAGAGCCAGAAACATCGATGAGAGAGAAACATCGATCAGCTGCCTCCTGCACATCCCCTACTGGGGATGTGCCCGCAACCCAGGTACATGCCCCTGACCGGAATCGAACCCGGGACCCTTCAATCCGCAGGCCGACGCTCTATCCACTGAGCCAAACCGGTTTCGGCTCAATAAAAATATATTTTAAAATTTTTTAATATATTTTATTGATTTTTTACAGAGAGGAAGGGAGAGAGATAGAGAGCCAGAAACATCGATGAGAGAGAAACATCGATCAGCTGCCTCCTGCACATCCCCTACTGGGGATGTGCCCGCAACCCAGGTACATGCCCCTGACCGGAATCGAACCCGGGACCCTTCAATCCGCAGGCCGACGCTCTATCCACTGAGCCAAACCGGTTTCGGCTCAATAAAAATATATTTTAAAATTTTTTAATATATTTTATTGATTTTTTACAGAGAGGAAGGGAGAGAGATAGAGAGCCAGAAACATCGATGAGAGAGAAACATCGATCAGCTGCCTCCTGCACATCCCCTACTGGGGATGTGCCCGCAACCCAGGTACATGCCCCTGACCGGAATCGAACCCGGGACCCTTCAATCCGCAGGCCGACGCTCTATCCACTGAGCCAAACCGGTTTCGGCTCAATAAAAATATATTTTAAAATTTTTTAATATATTTTATTGATTTTTTACAGAGAGGAAGGGAGAGAGATAGAGAGCCAGAAACATCGATGAGAGAGAAACATCGATCAGCTGCCTCCTGCACATCCCCTACTGGGGATGTGCCCGCAACCCAGGTACATGCCCCTGACCGGAATCGAACCCGGGACCCTTCAATCCGCAGGCCGACGCTCTATCCACTGAGCCAAACCGGTTTCGGCTCAATAAAAATATATTTTAAAATTTTTTAATATATTTTATTGATTTTTTACAGAGAGGAAGGGAGAGAGATAGAGAGCCAGAAACATCGATGAGAGAGAAACATCGATCAGCTGCCTCCTGCACATCCCCTACTGGGGATGTGCCCGCAACCCAGGTACATGCCCCTGACCGGAATCGAACCCGGGACCCTTCAATCCGCAGGCCGACGCTCTATCCACTGAGCCAAACCGGTTTCGGCTCAATAAAAATATATTTTAAAATTTTTTAATATATTTTATTGATTTTTTACAGAGAGGAAGGGAGAGAGATAGAGAGCCAGAAACATCGATGAGAGAGAAACATCGATCAGCTGCCTCCTGCACATCCCCTACTGGGGATGTGCCCGCAACCCAGGTACATGCCCCTGACCGGAATCGAACCCGGGACCCTTCAATCCGCAGGCCGACGCTCTATCCACTGAGCCAAACCGGTTTCGGCTCAATAAAAATATATTTTAAAATTTTTTAATATATTTTATTGATTTTTTACAGAGAGGAAGGGAGAGAGATAGAGAGCCAGAAACATCGATGAGAGAGAAACATCGATCAGCTGCCTCCTGCACATCCCCTACTGGGGATGTGCCCGCAACCCAGGTACATGCCCCTGACCGGAATCGAACCCGGGACCCTTCAATCCGCAGGCCGACGCTCTATCCACTGAGCCAAACCGGTTTCGGCTCAATAAAAATATATTTTAAAATTTTTTAATATATTTTATTGATTTTTTACAGAGAGGAAGGGAGAGAGATAGAGAGCCAGAAACATCGATGAGAGAGAAACATCGATCAGCTGCCTCCTGCACATCCCCTACTGGGGATGTGCCCGCAACCCAGGTACATGCCCCTGACCGGAATCGAACCCGGGACCCTTCAATCCGCAGGCCGACGCTCTATCCACTGAGCCAAACCGGTTTCGGCTCAATAAAAATATATTTTAAAAAAAAAATGAAAGTGCCCCTTTCCAAAGCCGCGTCCTCGCTCGTCACTGTCGCAGCCGCAGAGCTCTCACACCCGGGGCTATCCTGAGACACTTCGCAAAGCTATAAAGAAGGCACGGTTAACCTCTCAGGGCCTGTATGCTTGACTTTCTGGGATTTCACACGAACAAAATAAAGAGCCCAGAGCGTGAAAACCTGATAAGGAGACGCTGTTTCACATCGCCTGCCTGAGAACAGTGCCTTCTCTGTGCTCCCCATTTATAGGTGACACTGGCCTCAAAGGAACGCCCCCTCCTCCTTCCCTAAACTGGTATCTTATTTCACGGCCGTGGGAAAGGAGGCGATCATTCATTACTTCTGAATAACAGGTGCAATCGTCATTTCCACCGCAGCTCCTGATGGAGTGAAACGGCCCAGAGACCCAGCGATGATGGCCTGAAGCACGACACAGGGAGTCCTACCTACTACTCGGCTGCACAGAAGTGGGGACAGAAGCGCCGGTGTCATGCCCATGGGCACCGCCATCCGGGCCGCGGGTCCTACCTTTGTGGTTGAAGATGCCCTCCATCTCCATGCTGCTCCGTGAGTGCGCGATGCACAGCGAGCCGCAGGGCACCAGGCCTTCTGCCGCGGGGGACCGGTCGGTGGTCCGCACCAGGCACCAGTCGGGCTTGTCGTGGGGCCGCTCCAGCACCTCCACGGTCTGTCCGCGACGGATGGTCAGCTCGGTGCTGTTGCAGGCGGTGAAGTCGTGGATCACCACCGTCAGCTCGCAGCCGCCGGAGAGCTGGGGAGGAGAGGGGACCGGTCAGCGAGCCGGGACACTGACTCCGCGCAGGCTGTGAACCTGCGGGAACTCGACTCCCCCCACCCCTGAGTCAGTAACAGCAGGAACCACCCGAGGGGCAGCTCTCCTGCTTCACGGTCCCTAATCCTCCCTCAGACCCACATGACGGTCATTCACTGTGTCACGTTCTCACGTATGTCCATGGTTTTCTGAGTGTTTCCCTGACCTGATGTTTCACGCACATCCAAACCTTGTGTCTGAGACATTATTATTCTCAGTAAGTGCTATACACCGATTTTTTAGCTTCGGGCAAACTAATCAACATTGTGTCTGAAGGTCACTGGGGGGATTATTGTGACGTGTGGTGGTAAAATGGGAAGTTTGTTCCCATTTGGTGTCTGGGCACTCCCGGTCCTGTCAGCCTACGGGCACCCCTACACGTGGCAGGGTGACCAGAAGGGGATGGGGGCGGGGGTCAAGATCCCAAACACAGGTCAGGGCAGCCTTTCTCTCTTCAAAACCCTCTGGACGTTCCTAGTGGGCATTCCGGACCCTCTATCGCCGGCCCCAAACCCTTTGCAGGCCCTCTTCCCACCACAAGCCTCCATGTACTCTAGGGGCGCTGGCTCACTGCCCACATGCCACGAATTTTCTTCTGAAATTCCTTCCCTTCTTCTCTCCTCTCACTGAGCTCACTCCCATTTGCTGACTGACTCCCAGGCCCTGAGAAGCACAACACACACTCCATCACGACACCACCACCAGGACCTCACGTGGGAAGCAGGTGCGTGGCCTTCCCATGACCCTTCACCTCCTGTGGCCTCTGCCCCATGTCTCCCTTAGACTGTCCACTCCTTGGAGACAGCTCACATCCAGGCTCACAACGCCCCTCCCACCGCGACCAGTTCCCATCCTTGGACTGTCCCCTCTGGGCCTTAACCTGGCAGCCGGGAGGTCACTCCTGTCTGTTCACTATTCACCTGGGTGGGTTCCTGAACCCCACTCTATGCCAATCACTCCCGAGCAGGCACTGGCCTGCTGTTTCCCCCTCCCTCCAAAACACGTAGTCTAGGGCATTATTCCCCACCCCGGCCCCAGCCTGCTTCTCTCCAGTGTTCCCTTTGAGGCGTGGTCTCGCCATCAGTCACCCGAGCTGAGCTGAGGTCTCACGAGGTCTCACGCTCTTTCCCTCTCCAGGTGCCATCAGGACTCCAGGACGGCTTTCCGCTGCCTCCTTCCTCCGCACGCCCACACCGCTCACTCGCTGGCCCCTGCAGTGCCTCCCAGGTGGGCCCCAGGCTCGCCTGCCCGGCCATCCCAGCACAGCTGCCAGATCCCACTTTAACACGTGAGCCCCCACTCAAACATGCCTCCTTATGCACGAGCCGTGGCTCACATTCCGCAGCACGGGATCAGGTTCCCGCCCGGGGCGGCCCACCTGGCGCAGGTCAGCGGTGTCCCCTCACGCGCCTCCCAGCCCAGCGACCGTGTCCTCCTTGAGAGGGACCCAGCGTTCACTGCGCCCCCACTACCCCTTCTGCTTGGAGCTTCCCATTAGTCTCTGAGACGTCACTTCTGTATCTACCATCCTTAGCATTTTTTAAATAAGCAAATTATGACTCGATTCCGAAACGAGTCATGTCTTGGGTTATATGTGTGTCACTCTTCTGTGAACTTTCCATGTTCTGCCTGTGGCTGGGAGACTGGGCCTGTCTCTGCCACTGCTGAGCCCCCTTGGCCAACAACAGCAGGTACAGGGTTTGTGCAAGGAAGCAGTCACACATGTGCTGACGTGGTGGGTGGGTGGAGACCAACCAAGGAACTTGTATGCATATATGCATAACCCATGGACACAGCCAACAGTGTGGTGAAGGCCTGGGGAGGGGGCAGGAATAAGGAGGATTCAGATGATGAGGTAAAACATTTTAAAATATATTTTTATTGATTTCAGAGAGGAACAGAGATGGAGAGAGAGATAGAAACATCAATGATGAGAGAGAATCATTGATCAGCTGCCTCGTGCATGCCCCCTACTGGGGACCGAGCCCACAATCCTGGCATATGCCCTGACCAGAACTGAACTGTGACCTTCTATTTAATTGGTTGATGCTCAACCATTGAGCAACACTGGCTGAGCAAGAACTCCATTATTATTGCTATAACTTTTAATAAAGTCATGAAATCAGATATATATGAAGTATCTGCAGTCCACTCACACTGGGAATCCAAGAAAACCACATAATATTCTATCAGTTAGATGCTTAGCAAGTAACTAATTTGGAAATCAACATATTAAGCATTGGGTCAAGGGGAAGGGGGATGGGTAGGGGGGTGAAGAAGGCACTGCATTTGGAAAACCAAAACGAAGCACAGTTTTCCTCTGTGACTTTAGGAGCTAAGTCTGCTGTGTTTAACCTGAGACCTGCCCAGTCTTCGCAAGGACATCCGCACAGAGAAGGTGAAGGACAGAAGAGGAGACGGCTGGGCGGCGGGAGTGGAGCAAGGAATGGAGGGCCTCCTGTGGGGGACATGCTTGTCCAGGAGGCCACCCGGCAGTCCACTGGCAGAGCACTGGGAACCAACCCCGGCTCAGGCTCACAGCCGGCAGAGTCCTTGGGCCTGGCCACGCCGAAGACTGCGCCTGCCAGCCCCTGCCAGCCCCACGCTCTTCATCCCCCTCTGGTCGAACAGCCTGTCTTTCAAGAGCAAGTTTAGATATTTAGAATAAGAAACACATGGCCATTGGACAACCACAGAAACCAACGCAAAACAAACCCTTCCTAATAAAGCACAGATATGGACACAATGAATCGTCTTTGCTAGGCCACAAAGGGAGTTTTCCACAAATGTTTAATCGCCTTCTACATGTTGCAAATTGCTCTGTGGGAAAACCGCGCAGACCTTACACATTTCTCTGCGAACAACCAAGGACCTAATGGTAGAAGGGAAAGGCGGGGAGGCCCGGCCTGGGGAAGTGATTTCCTGTAAAAGCCCACGTGCTGGAAGTGGTTAATCCCTGTAGCGAAAAGGAGGAATGTTCCCAGTTCCAGGGGAAGTGTGAGCCTTGAACTAGCCGGATGGATATGGGGTCCGCTTGCCAAGGCCCCACAGGACCTGCACGTCCCTCGGACCCTGCCTGCCTGCAGTGCCTGTCACCCCTGCCCAGAGCCCCTCGGACAGGCCTGTCACGCTCTCCTGTCACTGGTCCACCCCCAGCCCTGGGAAACGCCACCTGGAGACACAGCACCTCATCACCCGTCCTGGGCCCATTTCACTCGGAGTCTTATTAATTTTTCAGAGTGCTCAAAGCCACATGGAGCAATCAGCGGGTGGGGGAAGGGTGGGAAGGGAGAAGGGGGCTGCCCAAGGAAAATTAAGCTAAACCTTATTTCTGGCACTGGTTTTTTTAGCCCCTCACAGAGTAATCAAAAACTATTGGAAACATCTGTGTACTTGACAGAGCATGAGAAATAAAAGTCAAGCCTGTTCCGATGAAGAATTGCACACTGAGTTAAAATTCCTTTTCAAAGGCTTTAGGGAACTTATGAACAAAATTCAGTACCAGAAGACTGTTTCCAAACAGCGCTAAAATCATCATTAAATATATACATATATCTTCTCGGCTTTACCCCTCAGAACCAATGGGCTTTTCCATAAGAATCCTGCATGAAGAATCTTTAAGGGGAGGATTAAGTGGATGTTTTCTAGTTCAGAGAAAAGACATCTGTGGATTTCGGTCTCAATGTTCACATTTGAACATTTTAAACTTCTGAATATAAAACCTCTCTTTAAAACCAGGTTTGCAGTTTAAAAAACAGCACTTTTTTTTTTTTTTGGTATAAAAGACTTAAAGTAACTCTTTGGAGGAAACGAGTTAGAAAAAGGTCAGATAATATATTCTACATCAGTAAGTTTGGCTGAGGTCTTATTTGCTTTCAATGACATTCCTACCCTCAGTGACCCAACTTCATTGCTATGCTGAGTTGCCATTCCATTTATCTAGTTAAAATTCACTTTTCCTTTCCAACCATGCCTTGTGAAAGTTTTTAAAGTATCTTCTCTACTTCTGTGTATTTTATGGACTTCTATCATGGGCTCCCAACCACATACATGCATTTAGTTTAGGATTGCAAGTTAGGGCAGCCTCAGCTGGCTGAGACCCTGGTGTACACTGGCGTACATCACTTCATTCCACGGCGCCCAGGAGTGACACTGCGTCCACAGGGGAAAGGAAGGCAGGGAATTGGGCCGCTCGTCCAGGTCCCACGCAGTGTGACACGGTCCTGATGTAAGGAAGTCTCGCCTGCACCTGTGCCCCCCCCCCCCCCCCCCCGTCCCTTTACACGGGCTGCCACGGGAACGCCAATGGCTCAGATGCACAGACTCTCTGCAGAATCAAACCAGGGTCCCTTTGCCTGAATCGCCTCAGAATGACTGAAAGTGAACAAGTTGCTGTGTTTCACACAAAAGAATGAAATACTCATCTTTGGCCGCAGGCACGTGAGCCTTGAACAATTAGCACAAAAGAGTTTTGCTTTATGTTTCCTGGAGGAACCACGTGATGTCACTGCTTTGCCTGAACCTAGTCAATGGCAGTGACTCCAACAGACCCTCGGAGGGGGTTTCTGACCCCATCGCTCCTCGGAGCGCCCCTCCCTGGCGCACTAACATGAGGCAGCTTTATGTTACAAGAACATATCGTTCTCAGGAGACAACGGCAAACACCTGGTTGGAATGGCCAAGCCCCAGGAGCTCTGGGGCCAGTTCTGCCAGAGGAAGAGGGGCTTTCCGACGGCCTGGCGATGCCGCAGCCTGTTCTGTAAGTGATCTACTCCAGGAACCCCAGGTTGACCGCAGGTGGGTATCTGGCCAATTTTCTGAGAGCAATTCAAAAGGAAAGGAGGAATGTGGTCTAATAAAAGCCATTTTCCCTAAAGAACACGGTGCATCAACTCTGAACAATCACATCTTACAGCCCAATACAGTCAGTCCAGAAACCT